AACCTGTCTAAGAGAAGGCAAACTCTGAATTTAAAACCAGGAGCCAGAATGATCAACAAATTGATCGTGGGCACCTCAAATATAAGAAGAAGAAGAAGAAGGTTATGCTATGTTATGAAATGTTAAATAACGCTTCAGTATTATGTGAATGACTGCCCACCACCTTGTTCACATGTGATGTTTTACATCAATATTAAGTTTTTAAGTCGTTTTTTGTTGAAACCGTTAGGGCATTCTACGTTTTAAAAAAGAATATAATTTAGCTTTTAGATGATGTTAAAAAATAGCGTTCATCTGTAACATTTTTACATGCAAGCCGTAAATCGTAGACCGTCATGTTGTCACTCATTTTTATATATAATTTGACAGCTTAATCACTACAGTAAATCTCGGTTGGATCGGCTATTATGCTTTCAATAACACCGTGTTGATGACTGTTGACCAATTTCAGCAACCTCTGTTTGAACCCAGCTTCTCCAAGTGAGTTATGAGCTTTTGTATTAAGTCAATGGCAGGATCAATTTAAATGTATTATCAACGGGAGTTTTGTGTATAATTAATTTGTGTAATATCTTTATAATTTTTTGGAGAAGAGCCGTGCGAGTCAACATCATCTTTCAGTTATAATTAAAGGGTGAATGAAAAGATAAAATAGCATGTGCTTCAAGACGTCAAGGTGCGCATACTGTACTACACGTGCAGAATTTCTTCTATAAATAGGTGGGGGGGGTGTGCGCGAGATTCCTCTGGGTGCCACTTTTCCTCTGCATCACCCTGATTGGGAGTATTGTAATATTGTGTAAATAATTGGTGTGAGTAATAAGTATAATTAATCAAGAAATTTTAGTTTTAAGAAACAAAATCAAGACCAATAATAAAAATAACAACATCCTTTTCGATTAATTATTTACTTTCTAAGCAAAGTGGCATTGGCAATAAAGAATATCGCAACAATAACTCTGCAACAAGCCTAATGTCAAAGACGTCACGAAACCTAATGTCAAAGACGTCACAAATCTATTGTCAAAGATGTCACAAAAACCTATTGTCAAAGACGTCACTATAACCTGTCTCAAAGAAGTCGCAAAAACATGTTTCGAAAAAGTCACAAAACCTAATATCAAAGACTCACAAAAAACTGTGTCAAAGACGTTAAATATATGCATCAAAGACGTCAAAAATGTGTCAAAGACGTCACAAAAACCTGGGTCAAAGACGTCACAAAAAACTGTGTCAAATACGTCATAAAGCATGTGTAATAGAGGTCACAAAAACCTGTGTCAAATACTCACAAAGCATGTGTCAAAGACGTCACAAAAACCTTTGTTAAGAAAGTCACAAAACCTAATGTCAAAGACGTTACAAAAACTGTGTCAAATACGTCACGAAACCTAATGTCAAAGACATCACAAAAACCTGTGTCAAAGACGTCACAAAGCATGTGTCAAAGACGTCACAAAGCATGTGTCAAAGACGTCACAAAAACCTGTGTCAAAGACGTCATAAAACGTGTGTCAAAGACGTCACAAAAATCTGTGTCAAAGACGTCACAAAAACCTTTGTCAAAGACGTCACGAAACCAAAAGTCAAAGACATCACAAAAACCTGTGTCAAAGACGTCACAAAAACCTGTGTCAAGGAGGTCACAAAAATATGTATCAAAGAAGCAGAAAACACTATTGTAATGAACGTCACAATAAACTTGTATCAGGACGTACACTTGTAAATTGTGTTTGAAAATGCACCATTCAACAAGCTATAAATTTGTAAATTGTGTGTGGACATGCACTATAAGTCAGGTCGTACCCTTGTAAAATGTGTATGGACATGACATGCACTATACGTCAGGTCGTGCCCTTGTAAAATGTGTATGGACATGACATGCACTATACGTCAGGTCGTGCACTTGTAAAATGTGTATGGACATGACATGCACTATGCGTCAGGTCGTGCACTTGTAAATTGTGTATGGACATGACATGCACTATACGTCGGGCCTTGCACTTGTAAATTGTGTATGGACATGCATCATTCATCAGACCGCTAAGACTATAGAGAATTTAATCTTTTGAGTATAAGACTCGTTGAAATACAGTACAACAAACGAAGATACCATTAATTATATACCGACTAGGGCTAATCACAATTAATAATCTTATTAAGTTAATTACAATTTAAAGAATAAAAAGTTAAAGCTATTGACTTACTTCATAGTGATGACTTGTACCGGTAAAATGTTGAAGAAGAAACAATTTTGAAAGAATACAATGTTGAAAAAGGAGCATACACACGGGCGAAAAATATTAGTAATCAAATCTATGTCTCGTATAACAAATCTCTCTCTCAGCTCAATCTTTCTATGCGTATTTATAGCCTATTTCTGAAACATTTCTAGAAAGGGTTCGGCATTGAATAAGTGACTTCGACTAAACTAGCACATTCTCAAGATTTCTAATTATACAGATTATTTATTCTATTTATTTGTAAACAATGTAAAAAGAGATAAGTTTTATTGAGATACACCCATAAACGCGTTACTGAAATTGGGGTCAGCTAAAGTTCATTCACGAGGAAAGATGAATGAAAGTAAAGGAGGTTTTAAGGAAGTCACAAAATGCATACCGGTAAGATAATAAAGGGTTTTACATTAAAATAATTTGCCCCCTTTCTTCATATCTTAATATTTCTGCTTACTAGCCCCTCAAAATACTTAACATATCTATATAAAAATGAAAATTTGTGGATTTGTTCGCATATTATAATTGTACATGTCTTGATGGATCTTGACCAAAGTTAGTGAAAAAGACCTTTCATAATGCCATCGGGGATTAAGAGCTCACCGGGAACGCAATCTCACCGTGGTCAGGATCATAACGGGGAGCGGGATTTAAATGAGAAAACGGGATCCCCCCTGGTAACAGTATCAAAATTAGGAATAGATCCCAAAAGGAATAGTTTATCATGGGGAACTGGATCCAACCGGAAACGGCATCAACCTGAAAACGGGGTCATACTGGGGAATGGGATCCTGTCTGAAAAGTAATTATCGGGATCCCTTCAGGAAACGGGATCGCATGGGAAAGGGATCCAATTATAAGAGTGTTGGACCGCGATAAAGTTTTAAGATATATTAATTATACACACGAACAAATTGTGTTAATATAGCAATAAGTATGAATTTTTAATAATATATTTACGTAATGCTCAAGTACACTTTTCGGCACATGCCTTCATTAGTATAACAACAACAAATTTAATTAAGTATAAATTAAATTTAAATAATATATCCTACCTAAAAAGAGAAAAAAATACGAGTTAGCTCAAAGACCAGATTGAAACAAACTAAAGAAGAATGGAAAGGAAGTGATTTGAAGTAAAATGTAAAAAAACAAAACAGGAAAAAGACATGGTAGCTACGTAAACGTGTGGATATGTTTTATCCCATATGGAGTCAACTTAAAACATCTTGTTGTTAAGGTATTCTTCATATAGATCATATCCTGTGTGTTACTAGTATAGAGTATACCAGTAACTGCGATGTATAAAATTCCATCATGGTTATCGCTATTGAAATGTTTAGAGACCAGAGAGAGATCTTGTTTATTTATGTTCTAGTGGTATTCTCTAAACTGATCTGTGATCTTATCAACTTCCATCACATAGGGGCATGCGTTACAAAGGCTACGGTTACAAAGTTTGGTGCCTTTATGTGCTTTAATAGCAGGAGGTGGCTTCTAACTGGCATGTCCCTAAGGATCTTTTCAATCGGGAAAGCGAAATGTGAAGGTTTTCTGAAAATATCATTGGGGAGAGAAGCTGCCATAGGAATTGAAAGGTTTTTCCCAACAAGAAAAATAGCGTTAAGGTTATGGGGGATGAAAAGTTAAAAGTAATTTAGACCTACTCCTAGTCTCAGCTTTAAAAGAATAATGTCTAAGCATATCTTTAATTCGAGTGACAGCTTCTTTTTAAATTTCCTCATGATATAAATTGCGTCGGAAAAAATCCAAAATTTCAGTTGTCCTTTCCAAAAAATCCTCATTATTGCTATGGAGTCTTGTCAGTCTCAACAACTGAGATAAAGTATGGAATTTTTACATGATTGAGGATGGATGATAAATATAGAAAGAAACTGTGACTGTTTTCTTACAATAATAGGACGTCGATATGTTGTTCTCGTTTAGCTTTATTTTAAGTCCAAAAAATTGATAATACTTGTATGGATCATTGAAGTGAATTTGATTGTTGGATGAAAATTTCCAATGAAGGAAATACACATTTCTAGTTGTGTTATGTCCATGTTGGTAATCCCTATACAGTCATCTCTTGTAGTATTCTGGGAAAGGACCTTTGCAGGGTTCTCTCCAAAGATGTTCCAAGTGACCCATAAATAGAAATGACTAACTTGTTCCCATTTTATACCCCTAGCAACACCACTGATCTGATTTAAAAAACGCAATTAAATTCAGACGAGTTAAGCTGTAAAACCATTTCGGTCAAACGTACTTAACGTACCATATATAAACATGAAAATTCTATCAAATGGGATCCCATTTGGAAACGTGATCCTGTAGGGATGGGGATCCCAATGTGTCTAGATCCCATTGGGGATCCCATCATTATCTAGATCCCTAGCTGGGAAATTGGATCCCGAAATAAAGTGATCCCACTTGGGATCGGAACGAGAAATCAGATCCCGGTGGGATCATATTTTATAAATGTGTTTTTTAGGGGAGAAATTTTAATGTTTATTCTTTTCTCAGCGTTTTGGGTTGTTGTTTTTGTTTTTTTTTGTTTTTGCAGACACCTTAATTTCAATGTTAGCTAAAGGCTGAAGAAATGTGTGCGTTCTTTCCGAATATAATACCGAGCTACGCCGGGTATATTGGCTAGTTTTAAATAATATATATACCTTTAACAAAAACATCTTAATATTACGCGTCTTTAAACACATAACACTAAGAAGTATCATTAATTTCTCCATTTTTAGGCCATTCCTTTACGGCGCTATTGGATACTTTTTTGGCCATGAAGTCACTCACGCTTTCGATGATATAATAAGAAAATTGGATGAAAATGGTCTCCCAGTGATCCTTTGGCCGCCTCGCTCAGATGAAGAGTATTTGAAGAGAGCCAAGTGTTTGGCCGACCAGTACAGCTCTCAAACTTTATATGGTGTTTATGTAAGTTGTCAAGTTTCTCCAAGTGATGTAGCTTTCTTTTTCAGGAATGAATATAACATTTTTTTTTTAAATCTCAAGTAAATACAAAAAATCAGGGTTCTCACAGTTATTTGACTATAACAGCGTGGGACGGCTATGTAATATTGCTCTTTTGTGTACTTTTTAGTCAAAGTATGTGAAGAGTTATCACAATTGAAGATCAGGAAGTTGGTCAAAAGTGAAATGCAAGTTTTGACCCCAAGAGGTTACTTACGGGTCAAGGGTTGTAGCTGGTGAAACGTTGTATTGATATAAGTGGGGGAGGCCATGGCTGAATGTGAACAAATTTAATCTAAATTGAACACAGAACGTGAATCATAATAGAGTTTAAATTGTATCCAGAAAAAGCTATCTAACTAAAAGCGCGTAGTAAAAAATGTTGTTGTGTAGAAAAGATCTTGAACATCACATCTGTGTCATAACACATTTAATCCTCTTCCTCCTTCCCCCAAAGCTTACAAAAAGGAAATGTAAAAGTATAACTTAAAATTGAGGCCACTATTGGCGTTCCAAGGTGAGTGAAAAGGGGGCTATAAACCTCGGAATGGAGATATGTGAGGAAGGGCAATAAATCCCGGAATATAGATAGGTGAGGAAGGGGCAATGAACCCCCGGAATGGAGATAGGTGAGAAGGGGCAAAAACCCCAGGATAGAGATAGGTGAGGAAGGGGCAATAAACCCCAAAATGGAGATAGGTGAGGAGATGGCAATAAACCCTGGAATGAAGATAGGATAGAAGGGGGCAATAAACCCAGGAATGGAGATATGTGATGAGTGGGCAATAAACCCCGGAATGGGGATAGGTGATGAGGGGGCAATAAACCACGCAATTGAAATAGACAATGATGGGGTAATAAACACCGGAATTGAGATAGGTGATGAGTGGGCAATAAACCCTGGAATGGTGATATTTATTTATTTATTTATTTAGGCATTTTTATATAGCGCTGATCATAAAGCTCTAAGCGCTTTACAATTATTAAAACATGTAAACTAAGTAAATACAAATGAGACACTAGGATAGTAACTACTATTCTATAGAAACAATGACAATGGCTATAAAACGAGGAATGGAGATAGGTGAGGAGAGGGCAATAAACGATGGAATGGAAATAGATGATGAGGGCTCAATAAACTCCTGAATAGAGATAGGTGATTAGTGGGCCATAAATACTGGAATGGAGATATGTTAGGAGGGGGCAATAAAACTCGGAATAGAGATAGATGAGGAGGGGGGAATAAACCCCGGAATGGTGATAGGAGGGGGTAATAAACCTAAATTGAGATAAATGATGAGGGGGCAATAAACCCCGGAATGAAAATAGGTGAGGAGGGAGCAATAAACCCCGGAATGAAAATAGGTGAGGAGGGAGCAATAAACCCCGTAATTTAGATAGGTGATGAGGGGGCAATAAACCCCGTAATTTAGATAGGTGATGAGGGGGCAATATAACCAGGAATTGAGATAGTTGAGGAGGGGTAATAAATATAGGAATGAAGATAGGTGAGTAGTGTCCAAAAAAACCCGGAATGGAGATAGGTGATGAGGGGGCAATAAACCCCGTAATTTAGATAGGTGATGAGGGGGCAATAAACCCCCTAATGGAGTTGGTGATGAAGAGGCATTAAACCCTGGAATAGAGATAGGTGAGGAGGGGCAATAAACCATGGAATGGAGAAAGGTGATGAGGTGGCAATAAACCCCGGAATGGAGATAGGTGAGGAGGGGGCAATAAACCCCGGAATAGAGATAGGTGAGGAGGGGGCAATAAACCCCTGTATGGAGATAGGTGAGGAGGGGGCAATAAACCCCGAAATGGAGATAGGTGAGGAGGGGGGTATAAACCCTGGAATGAAAATATGTGAGGATAGGGCAATAAACCCTGGGATAGAGATAGTTGATGAGATGGCAATAAATCACGGAATGTAGATAGATGATGAAGGGGCAATAAATCCCGGAATGGAGATAGATGGTGACGGGGCAATAAACCACTAAATGAAGATAGGTGATGAGGTGGCTATAAACCCCGGAAGGGAGATAGGTGATGAGGGGACACTAAACCCCGGAATGGATATAGGTTATATGTCTAATTAATAAGTGGACGATTTAATTAACTTATCCCCATCTCAAACTCATCAAACTCATTAAGAAAAAAACATATTTATACATAACTCGGTCAAAAAGTCAAAACCATGTTATGATAAAGTCTAACTTTGCGAGGTATGTATTATTTTATAATGTATTCAATAATTGTATGTGCTGAATAGTGACTCGTTGTAATGGGTGGGTATTAGAAACTGTTTCCTAATTTGTCAGATATCATATTTAACAACGCATCTTTGATATTTCTAAGCTTTCAGGGAATTACACAGTTCAGGAAGATATATGTGACAACAATGCGGTCAGGCTGGCCTACAAGGCCTTCAAGGCACATGCGCTGTCAAGTGACCCTATCTTGCCTGGCCTGAATCTAACTGACGACCAAATGTTCTTCCTGGGCTTTAGCCAGGTACGGTGAATGCGAATGTCCAATCATTAGAGCATGTGCTGATAGCTTGGCTCTATCCGGGTACATGGGGTCCTAATCTCTGTTTCTAAAAGTTGGACCACGCCCCACAGGGCGGAAATTTGATTGTTAAGGGGCAAAAAAATCCACAAGAACACAAATGGAAGGAAACATGAATTTTACTAGAAAATAATTGTATTAAATAGTTATTTCTTTAGAATACATGCTTAAGAATCTGTACAGGATCAGAATCTTTTTTTCGGAAACGTAATTTTTTCTCCCAACAACATAATTTCGTTAACAAAATCTCCTTTGTCACTATACAAAGGATAACTTCGGCTACAACAAGAATGCGGTATAACAATTTACAAAAGAAAGGAATCTCAGTGTGTATGCGCTTCAGTAAAGCAAGGGAGACAGTTAGAAATTATTATTTATAATTGGCTTCGGCGCAAGAAAATTCGAAATTTTAATTACTTTTAATTGTTTTGCTGTTTCATTCAGGATCAGAATTTATGCTGTTATCAACGTATTTCTCCTTCTACATACAACTACAATATAGATCTAATGTTATGCTGAATCGGAAGAAGCCATCTTTTTGGGGGAAAAACCACCCGGAAATCTGTATTCAGCTCTTACCTGTGGTTTTAAGATGGGGCTGTAACATGCACAAATAAATTGTGGCCACAACCCAGACAACGATTCCAGGTTGAGGGTAGCTGAAAGGCATAGAACTTTCGGAGAAAAAGGGCTTGTCCCCCATAGCATGTAAAGACTGAATCCGGCAAATTGTGTGGAAGAACCACTTCTTGGTCAACGGACAAAAGGCGGAGACAGCAAAGTGATATGAATCGCTAAGAGCATGGCCAGACACGTAGAACGCCATGGTCATTCACTGCATGTGTGACTGGGTGGCCGAATGGTCTAAACTGAACAAACCTCAATTCCAGCCAAAGGTCAGTCAAGCAAAAACATAACCCCGGGTGGATGAGAATCGTTAACCTTGGTCGGAAACTCATCTAAGAGAAGGAAACTCTGAATTCAAACCCGAAGTTGGAGTCCCAAAAGGCGCATACAATGACAATTCCTGCAACCGTACCCATCCCTGGTCGTTTTGATGTAGAGTCTTGCCACTGGATATGGTGGGCCCGGGTGAGAGTGAGGTTGACGCCGCGCAACTCTTCCTCACTTTAAACAAAGTCACCCGCGCAAGTCATCAGTCAACGGACGACTCGATGGTCCTCGTTGATGCTCGACGGACGAACAACATACTGGTACAGTGGGTCTAAATGTTCAATCATTGGTGCAAGTGTTGATAACTGGTCTCTATCCGGGTACAGTGGGTCCAAATGTTCAATCATTGGAGCAAGTGTTGATAACTGGGTCGAAGTTGTAACGTATTGTGTGTTTCTGTGAGGACACATTATAATACTGTGACGTTGTATTGTAATTATTGTCTTTTCTTTTTTGTAGATAGTTATTTTTCAACATACTGTTTAAAGGCTCCCTCAACCACACACAGGTTTTTCACCCCTATAAAAAAATATCAAGGTCTTCTGTTACAACACGTTTTCTTATCGTAAATTTTTCTCAGTGTAACCAATCCAAATACATGCTTTACTAAAAGTTCAAGATGGATGCGTCAGAAATAAGGTGACCTGATAATAAGGTCAGAAGAAACACCATTTTGACCATGATTCAAAAGTGACAGAAAGCTATATGTATCTAAATTCTGAGAAATAAATCTTTACACTGATAACAATTACGATGTAGTTGGGCGGTTCTAAGTATATTAATTGACTCTTATCATCAGAGCTTTCGTATTTTGCGAGCGCATAAATTATTAAATTGATATATCTATTTTCCAAACTTTTTGGATCGATTTCATCATTTCATCTTTTGGAACAAACGACTTTTAGAGAAATCACATTTTTTTATGTAGTGTGGAGAGTTCGGACAACGACGGCGACAGGCCGTCTGACAGGTACAGCCGGCGCCACCTGACCAGAGATCACGATAGACGGATCAAGCCATCTGACAAGGGCATTCACCTGGGACGTCTGGTGGGTTGGTAACCTGGCGCCAATTGAGAAAAAGGGGCGGGGCGAGTACAGACCTGGGAAGGGAACTCTATGAACCAGGGACTTATAAATAGGGACCTCTGGACGGGACGAGGGGGAAAGCGCGGCCGGATGGTATGAGTAGAGGGCAGTCAGAGTTGTGAGATGAGAGAAAGTGTAAGCGAAGTGACAGCCCAATAAAGAACACGAGTTTAATCATCAAATGTTATCGCCTGAGTTGAGTTGTTTCCTTATTGAGTACCAGATCTAGATGAAGTTTAGCAGAGAGTAAGCAAGGTTTCCTTACAGTATTTACATTCCAACCATCGTAATGTTTACCGACTCACAACTCTTGAGCCTTTGAGAGTTGACTAATTATGT